AAATGATAAATCTCACTGGTCATGATTACTATACTTTATAACAAGAATTTCTATGGTCTTTGTGAGGTAGGAAAAGTATCAATTTTATAGAAACAAACATCTAATGTGTCAAAAATTAATGGAGTGATGTATTCAAGATCAGCACTGGAGATGTGATGGCCCAATTCACATAGAGGCACAAAATCTTTCCAGACCAAAGTCTCAGTCTTTCTCCCATATTCCCAAAGGCCTCCACGGATCATAAATGGCCTTTGTTAAGCAGAAAACACCTTGGTGAAGGTTTCCAGCTAAGCTTTCTCCTTTTGATGAAACATCTCTTACAACAGAGGTACCGAGCTTTAGTGCACAGCAGTCATGTGGAAGGTTTGTAAACTACAGGTGGCTGTTCTCACCCTCACAACCCATGAGCTGCAGTGTCTAGAGGACAGAAGAATCATGAGAACTTGTTCCGAAGGCAAGGAAACTGTGGGCAGGAGATGGAGTCCTGTGGTGAAAGTAGAGAGTCAGGAAGGGACAGCTATCAAATGGGGCTTAGCAGAGCTGGCTGGTGCTGCCCACTGGGAGAAAAACACCAGCTCAGCCCTGAACTCAGCTCTGCCTGTGGCAAGATACCTGAGATGATCACACACACCTACACTGATCCTCTAAAACCAGAAATGACCACATGAGCTACTTGAGTAGCTTAGTATCATAGTAAATCCATAATCTAAGTTTCCCCCCAAAGAAACCCTCATGGTTCCAAGAGCTTCGCTGAAGCATCCTAGGCTTTTAAAGAAAAGCAGAGTGACACAATGCTTCCAGTTGCAGAATCCAGAAGAGAACACCTTCCAGACCTAAAATCAAACCAGATGAAGGCAGTTCTGGAAAAATGATAGAAGAAAGAAAAATGGCTATGGTGATGTATGCCTGTAAATACAACACTTGAGCAGCTGAGGCAGGAGAATTGCAACAAGTTTGAGGCCAGCCTCTAGCACTATCAAGCCATCCAGGGATACATGTGTTCTATCTAAAAATAAAACCAACAACAGGAGGAGTTAATAAATTAATCTTTATATAAAATACGTGGACTGCCCAGTCGTCAGCTTGGGATTTGCCTTCTTTGGTGGGAGGGTCTCTGACTGCTTTTCCCGTTAGGGCACTGCACATCAGCTGCTTCTACTCTTTTCCTGCCAATGGCCTCAGCACTCACCATTGCCCACCCGGCGCTAGCTGTTGGTATCTTCTTGTCCTGTTGAGAGAGACCTTTATCAAGGAAGTATATGGGTAGATGACAATACCTTCACTTCGGTGCATCTGGAGGGACAGCTGCCTGTCGTGGTGGTTTGAGTAAGAACACTTGGTCCCCATTTGGCGGCACTGTTTGGAGCCTTGCTGGAGAAAGTATGTCTCTGGAGGCAGGCTTTGAGAGTTTGTAGCCTTGTTCTACTTCCAGTCTCTCTGTCGCCTTCTGCATGTAGATGAAGATATGCTGTCTCATGTCTCTGCTCCTGCTGTCATGCTTCTGCCCACTCCCCAACGTCATGGACCCTTATCCCTCTGGAACTGTAAGCCCAGATACACTTACTTCCATAAGTTACTTTTTGTCATGGTGTTTTCTCACCGCACCAGAAAAGTAACTAATATCTGTTAGCAAGCTTGAATGTGTCTGTAAAACTCCTTCGAATCTTAAGTTCTCATTCTGTCTGGGGATGTCTGGGTTGGGGGAGCTCAGTTCTACATTCTTTTTTGTTTGTTTTTCAAGACAGGGTTTCTCTGTGTGGCTTCATAAACCAGGGGCTTAGAACTCATAGGGATCCTCCTGCCTCTGCCTCCCAAGTGATGCTGTGATTAAAGGTGTGCACCACGAGAAGTGAACTGGGATTGTCATGTAATTCAATCTTGTTTGTAATTCAAATAAAAAAAATCAAACAAAAAATAAAAAAAGAGGTATGCACCACTACCACCCAGCCCTTAGTTCTACATTCCTAATAAGTGGCACTGCTGGTCTGGAGACCCCACTTGGCTACTCCCCTGCCACCAAGGCTCCTTCATTTTCCACTAGAGTGAACTGCTTGCTCTCAAATTCCTGTCTGAGGGTCTGCTTCTGGGAGAATCCTTTTCTGCCTCTTCCTGAATTACACATTCTTTATAGTAGGAACTGGGGAAGACACCCTTATCTCCAGAATGGGTGTTTTAGATGTTCCCCACTCAAACACTGTGAAGAGTGTGTCCTCTTTTGAGACTGTGTAATTTACAGCTCTCTACCTGGTGAGTTTTCTTGTTCTGTGCATGATCTTTAAAAATGGTCTGCCTCTACATACTGTTCATCCCAAAAGCCATCTCTGGATACAAATGGGCAAAGGTGGGACTTTCTTCAAATAACGAAATTTTTATACCATGGAAGTTGAGATTGAAAATGTTTCCGCATGCAGATGACATGTCACTGTGAAAGGGTGAAAAAGACCATTCAGGAAAAAGAAAAAAAGAGTAAGTTTCAGGCTGTTGAGAGGAAAATTAGTGTGACTCCAACAAAAAGAGACGAAATTGTAATCAAGCCACCCAGACAAGAGGTGACGAAGGTAAGGAAACACAATAGTGAGTTTGTATACCATATCTATTATTTGATTTGATATCTCTAGATAGACATATACAAACACATGTTGTCTCATTTCATATCACACCTTTGGAAGATGTCTTCTTATACACAAGCTTAAACATTTATGAACTGTCTAAAGTTGATAAAAACACAATTCAATATTACCATTTTAGTTTGCACTTTTTATTCACCTTGAGCCACAGATAATTTACTTCTAATACTTTAATCAATTTCCCCAAGCATTTGCAAATAAAAACCCACTCTGTTATTGCTGTGTAACAAATGAGCCCACACACCACAGTGGCTTGCAACTATATGCACTAATGTCTCATTCATAAGTCTGGCTGTCTGCTGGAGGCTGTGTTTGCAAGGCTGTGGGTTTTGGGAACCAACAGTAACATGACTAAAATGTATGAATCCAGTCACACGCTGATAGGTCATTAGTTGGTGTAGAATCTCCTTATGGCAAAAGTCAGATGTTCCTGGAAGTTCAAGGTAGAACCTGGTACCCATCTGCCTCCTCACTTTCCATCCCAGGGCAAGCCACATGACCAAGGCAACAACAACAAAAACTTTCCATCCATAGCGTTATCCATAGATGGAGTGAATACATGCTGAACAATCATCAAATTGACTAATTTCTAAATGGTGATAGTTGCCATTACAGATGATAGATAAAAAAATGTATTAAGAACACTCCAGGCATTTTCCAAAGGGGATTAGCACACATGATATGGACACAGCTGCATTGCCATTGAACAACTGTATGGCTATGAAGAGGGATCATCTTGGACACAACAGCTTTAATTGGTTTTAAAGGCACTTTCCGAGACTTGGGATGTGACTCACCTGGTATGTGTGTGTGGAGCTAGGTTCACTCTTCCAGTACTTCATAAATAGGGAATAGCACACATTCCTGTAATCTCACACTGGGAGGAAAGACAGAAAAGTTCAAATCCAGACTGGGCTACACAAGAACCCACCCCTCCCCACTTAAGTAATTTTTAATTGCCTCATGCCTCTTACAAAATCAAACTTAATACTTGCCTAACTGAAGGTATTCCACTTTTATTTGTGCTCACATAGTCTGAAACTGACCAGACACTATGGCTCTTAAAGTCTGTCAAATCCCTACCTCTTTTCCTCTTTGTTTATTAAGTATGCATGTGTTTAAAGGGGAGGCAAAATGCCCAGGCTCAGTGCTGGAGACATGGATCACTCACTGGTCAGCAGCTAGTATTGCTCTTCAGAGGTTTGGCTCTCAGCTCTAGTATCAGGTGGCTCACAACTGCCTCTGATTCCAGCTCCAGGGTGATCCAGTTCCTCCAGCCTAGAGGTTCTGAGGACCCATACTCAGGTGTGCATACCAACACACAGCACGAAATTCAATACATGTAATTTAAAATAATAAAAACTGCATCTTTAAACCCCTGGCTCTCCTTGATGCTCCCAGGCTGTTCTTGGTGGCCAGCGGCCTAACGCTGAAAGCCCAGCACCATTCCCCGGAGTCAGTGAGATCCCAAGACAGACAGGAGGCCCCGGCTTTTGGCAGCTGGTCCTGATGTCTTAGCTTACCTCTCCAGGCCTCCATCACATCATCCACAAGTGTGCTCCCCAGGGCAGCCATCCATGAAACCAGGAACCGCTGTAGGATTTTGATGCTCCTGTTTCCCTGAAAAGAACTGCTTAGTAAAGCCCGTGACTGAAGCTCTACAAAGCATAGGGGCTGTTGCCTCTGTGTGGGGGCCACGAGCTCATATGCAGTGTCCTAGATTTGTCTCCCATGATGACACCTGAAGAAGGCATCTTTGGGGACTTGTGGGGACCATTGGTAACAATGTAACAGTTTCTGAAAACTCAGGAGTGTCGCCTTCTCTAGTTGGGTGGCTCTGATGTACCTACACACACCAGCTTCCCAGAACCTTTTGTTTTTCATTTGTTTGGCAGTGGGATCAATTTCCTAACAAAATGATTTTTGGAGCTGCTATAATGTCCTAAGTATTAGAAGGTAGAGTTTGAAGAAAGGGTTGAGCAATAAGTGTTGCAGTGTCTAGCAGGAAAAAAATACAAAGGGCCAACTATTAAACCGACTAAGCAACAAAACTCAGGAGCCAAGCAAAGCCCAGAAATCCCTTGTTCACATGCCCTCCTCTGCCTAGTCTTCAGCAGGTGACTGACTGCTGTCCTGCTTTCTAGAGAACACCAGTCGCCCCCGGTTTCAAAGCTGGGGCAGTGCTCTTGGCTGCAATCCCTCCCTCCTCTGCAGTCCCCGGTGACGCCTGGAACCCTGACCTCTCACCTCCTAAGCACCTGGCGGCGGGAGCTGGAGGCGCCCTTTGGAGCGGGGGCGGGCCCTGGGGGAGCAGGATGGCCTGGCGCTGGTGCCCAGCGTTAGCTCGGCTCTCTCAGTCTCTCAGCAGGGACAATGGAACCGACAGTGGCGCCCGGAGAGGTGCTCATGAGCCAGGCCATCCAGCCGGCTCATGCAGACTCCCGCGGAGAGCTGAGTGCAGGGCAACTGCTCAAGTGGATGGACACTACCGCCTGCCTGGCTGGTAAGCCCTCTGCCCACGCGAAGAAACCTTCGGGGGAAGTGTGGGGTAAGGGGGAGACGACAGGCTGCCCGCTGGTGGATCCTGGAAGGCAGGAGCTGGGGATATGCTAGCCTCCAGGCCAGGGTGGAAGCCTGTGATAGCTTGGGAGAAGGAAGGCAGGAGGAAGGGCAATGTTCCCAACCGCTGAGAGCAGGCAAGCTGTGAAGACAGTATTGGTGACTAAGACAGTTACTGACAGCGACCTAGAACAGTGTTCCTTGGATGTTTCCTTCACAGGACTCCCTTTAACTCACACAGTAGTGAAGACCCCCTAAAAGACTTCGCTATGTGGATTGCTTGTATCTATACTTAACCATGTTTAAAATTCTAAGATTGAGTTCATTGACTAAGTAGAACTGAAGATAGAAAACGTGTTCACACTGCAAGCATGAAGCCCTGGTTTTGCACGCGAGCGCTCGTACACACACACACACACACACACACACACACACACACACACACGTACACACCATGTAAATGTGCACATGCACATGTTAGCATACTTTCTTGACAAACAACTAGATTATTACTGCAACAACAGAAGTGTTCTTACAAGACTAGTCACAGTTCATACTTTCTCAAGTGAGCTAAATGTTTCCTTGGTAAAAGATTGCTCTTTTGCCAGATTCCCTTCTCTGTTCAGTTTATTGCCGTCAGCTGTTAGGCAGTCAGGGACACTTGATGGTATTCTTGAGAGCAGATGAGAGTGAAAACAGCAAGGAGAAGGCCAGGGGGCGTTGTCAGTTGTGAAGGGCTTGCCTGGCTTAAATGAAACATGGAGGATGGTGGCAAAATCATCTCATATGGACCTAATCATGTCTCAGTGCCACCCCCAAAGTTTGTATTTTGGAAATGACAATTGAGTAAGTGAGTAATCAAGGTTAAGGAGATGATAAGGGCATATCCTGATCCCATAGGAACTTAGAAGCTTGTGATGCTGCAGCAAGAGCCGTCAGCAAACAAGGAAGAGAGCTCTTGCCAGTCTATAAAGACATGGTTATGAACCCTATAGCCTTCAGACTTGTGAGGAACTAAATGTGTATTGTCCAGCCCACCCAATCCAGAGATTTGTGTGTCGGTCACCCTAGGAAAGGCAACCGGTCAGCAATGCTAAACTGAGGCTTTGACTATGGTTGGATTACAATGAGGAATGGAAGCTCCGCTTTTGAAAACAGTGGGTAATATTTAGACATGGTTTTCTAGCTGGGGGGCTGGGTTGAGGAGTACTTTTGAAATGTACATCTCCTGCTATACACCCATGCTGACTTCCGTCATCTCTAGACCAGTGATAGATACAGACTTGGATATGAGTAAGCCTTACCATGCCTCCCTTCTGAAGAAATTCCTCTGGTGTCCTAGTACTATCTTGCTTGCCTGGGATCTGTTATCTACACACAGTGAACTCTGAGTACATGAATCATATCACAAACTCCCACTAGCCTCCCCAAGATGAGGACCTCTCAGTATTTTCCTATCATCCTTGAAGTAAAACACAAACTTTCCTCATTCTTTACAGATGCTTTGTGTAGCTGAAAACTCATTCTCTGAAGGGCCAGACAGAGTTGATTCTGAACCTAGCTCAGGACATCAGACAGATTGGCTATAGGATGTTCCTCCAGTTGGGTGTTGACATTAAGAACAAATATAATGTTGTGTTTCCCATACGAAAAATTTACCATGGTAACCATCTCCCTGCCAGACTGTCTGGATACAAGCAATGGCAGCCTTCTGATGTTTTTCTAGGATGTGCAGAGCTTTTCTCCCTAAGGAACTTCACACCTGTTATTTTCTTGGCCATTTCCATGCCTCATTCCTCAGCTTCCACATCCTTTCCCATTTCCCCAGACTCCCCAGTCTCTTAAGTCCAGCCCCTGTGCTGACCTCCATTACCACTGCCTATGACAAATTAGACCTGGGTGGAGGGAGCTTTCCATTCCTGATGTTCTAGTCACATCCCTTATACTGCATGTGGCAGAAGTAAAGCTCAGAATATTATGGACCCACTTTTCTTAATACAATGCTAACCTCGGCATGGTAGCTCCTGTCAAATTCAGCTACACTTTCCAGGGCAATCTATTTGTTTCATTTGCTGATTTGTTTGGTTTCTGTCATAACAGTTTCTAACAAGGTTTGAATTGGGTTACAACAATGTAGCAAGGAATCAGAAACAGGAACTTTACTCATATGTAAATAAAAGAAACAAGCATAGAACTGATTGGTGTTGCTGATAATAATGATGCCTGTTTCCAGGGCAACTGAATGCAATTGGCATGAAAGTTTCTAGTTTGACCTTTTTGGAAACTCAGATACTAGGAAGACTCTAGACAATCATGCAATGCCTTAATAATTATATTGCTGTTGGTAACTTCATAACTGATAATGTTAATATTACAAATACTAAAGAATCCTTATAATAAAGTTGGCTTATGAAATACAGATAATGACCATGTTGAACACTCTATGGGAATAAGAGATATCACATAAGCAGGGAACATTGTCCAGGTAAGATGTGGATGAATATGAAGAGTAATGCAAAAGCCGATTTTATTTTACTTATTGATTGATTGATTGATTTTTTGAGACAGGATTTCTCTGTGTAGCTTTGAAGCCTGTACTGGAACTCATTCTGTACATCAGGCTGGCCTCGAACTCACAGAGATCTGCCTGCCTCCTGAGTGCTGGGAATAAAGGTGTGCGCTGCCACCATCCAGCAATGCAAAACCCAATTTTTCTAGCCTTGTTTCAACCAGTGTTCCTTTGACCAGTGCTCTAAGATAAATAATGACCATAGTCATGTCCCAAAGACAATGCCATAACCCTTAAACACTGCTAGATTTCGTAACAACTTCTCAATATTTAAAGAAAAATCAAACAGCTCCAATCACATTAACAGTAGGTACCATAGCTGTCGGTGGCCCTCTACCCTTTCAGTCCTTCTTGAAACCATCACCGAGTCATCCTCCACCCCCCCATCTCCATTTCTTGTTTTGAACTCTCTCAAGACCATAATTCCTCTCCATGTCAGCAGTTCTCTGAATGTTCACTTTTAAAGAGTGCTACCTCACTCATCCAACTGTGTCGTTAAAAATCTGGGACTTGGCCTTGACATGCTATCCACATTGCTTCCTCCTGCACACGTTCAGTATGTAAACCTTTCCTTTTTGGATTTACTAAGGATTCCTTCTGGAGGAATCTCGCAAGCCCAGCCGCCATGCAGAGCCTCCACACCACTGCCTAGACCCTGCCCCACTGCCCTGCCTGTGGGCTTCAGAGGGGCTCTCAACTGTTTGCCCTTTATTCTGGTCTCATCTCCATAATTCATCTAAAGTACATTCTGAAATTGCTAATATTGTCATGTCAGACATGTTTTCACCTCTACCCTATGTTTCTTTACTAAAAAGGTTAAAGGGTGTTCCCTCTAGCCTGGTCAAGTACTTTCTATCAGAAAACTTTCCCACACAGATAACAACTATTAACTCTGGACAATAGAGCAAATAAAGGTAAATTAAGGCAACTGAGAAGTGAACGAGAAGTGTTTGGAACACAAGAAAGTTACACTCAGGAGAGAAGACTTTAAAAATTAAGAGAAGAAATTAAAAATTTAATTCTTTTTTCTTTAATTTTACCGTGTGTGTGTGTGTGTGTGTGTGTGTGTGTGTGTGTCTGTGTGTCTGTGTGTCTGTGTGTCTGTGTGTGGTGAGGTGGGATGTTTAATGACATTAAGGATGAGAAAGCACCCCAGCAATTTTCTCCCAGTTAAATTTTTAGTTAGAAATCCGCAGGTTTGTCAGTTTTAACATCCAAAGACAATATTTGAGGAAAACACATCCACTGGAATAGGAAGAGAGATGTTTTCAGAAAAGAGAAAGCTGGGAAGGCAAAGCATCCTGCCTGTGATCCTGGACCAGGTGTCTGGCACACTTTGAGTTCTGTGTATATAGGACAGACTCCAAACCTCCTAGTAAAGACCAAAGAAAGTGAAGGGACCATGTCCATCTCTAAAATGGCAGGGTTTATAGTTGAGACTTAGTAAACAGAACTACTTGTTTTGTCAAGAAAACAACAAAAGCAAACCAATTCTTTTCAAAGAGCTCATCAGAACCCACTATTTCAACAACAAATCAACAATGGCTTTGAGATAATAGAAAGCATTTACATACAAATAAGCAGGCAAACACAATTCATTCTTGAAATATTATCAATAGAGACCAATCTATAGATGACATTGATGCTATAATTAAAATTCAAGGACTTCAATGTAGCTATTTTAGTTATACTCAAGGAAATTAATAATGTTACTGTAAAGAACAAAAAAGGTAATAAACCTCAAAAGGAGAAATAGAAAGTGTTTTATGAAGACAACATGGAAACTCAATAGTTGCAAACTGTAACATCTGAAATTTAAAATATACTAGATAGATATCCTTAGCTACTGAATGAAAATAGATGGGGAAAAATATATATATATTTTGCTAATATTGTAATCTTGCAAACAACCAAAAACTGGGGGTTATGGTCCAGTGGTATAACACACTTGCCTAGCATGCATGAAGTTAGAATTAAATTCCTGGAACCACACACACATACACAGTCTCATATGGTCATGAAAAAAATATAACACAAAGCTTTCACATCTGTATAAAGTCCCCAGAGGAGAAAGTATGAGAAACTCACCACTATTCAAAAATAATGGCTTTAATTTCCTCAATCATGCTGAAAAGCAGGTTAGATTCAAGAATCCAGAGAATACCAAATAAGATTAGTATAAAAATTTTCACATAGGCATATTCTAATCAGACATGTTTAAGAGATCCTTAAAAGCAACCTGAAAGGGCTGTACTCAGTGTAGGAGAGCAATGGCTAAAATTACCACCTACCTCATTGGCAACAGCAGAGACCTGGTTGGTCCATGTGCATTAGCGTTTGCAGCCAAATGGTTACAGCAGAGATCAGAAGACAATGAACAATATCTAGCAATAACAGTTCTAAAACGATGACAAGCAAGAGCCTCCAGGCCGACTCAGGGTCTGCTCTTGGCCTTCCCTCTAGCTCCATCTCAGCCCTCCTTCTCATGTCTCCATTCTAGCCCCAGAAGCTATCCTCACGATCACTGGAATCCAACCTTCCTTTCCAGTCTCCTCTCTCATCTGTTCCACTCCAGTTCATCCTTTAGATCTGGGCTCAAGAACCCTCTAAGTGGACACTTTGGCTTATTCCATCATTGCTCAGCTAATCTGCTTCCAATTTTCCCTAGGAAATTAGTAATATCCCTAAGTTTGCTACTGCATGAAACTATGAAGGGCAATCAAAATGTAAGGACCAGAACAATCGGGTCCATATCCTCTAACTGGCATACTTGGAAAATGAGCAAAAGATAATGTATAGTTATGTGCAAAAGCAAGTGACCTTATGTTGACACTTCATACTTTTATCTTTTCTTTCTTGCTGGTTCCTGCAAGTTTGCAGTAAAAAGTATGGCTGTCGGGGCCCACATTCAGTGAGGCACTCCCTGAGACCTTTTTCAGTTTCATCTATCTATCTGTCTTCTAGAATTCCTATTCTATATAGTCAAAAACTACTCAAACGATTATTTGAACCTTTCTAGAATTGAATGTCCTCATTTAAAGATGGGATTAATGACAGTACTAGCTCCCTGTGATTGACATGTGTGGCTTGGTGCATGACCAATGAGAAATGCTTAGTTACTGGTGTTACCTGCTGTTGATTCTCCCTTGTCCCTCATACAGTCTAGTACTGTGCTCTGTAAGCATACTAATCACCTGGAAAATGCAATACCTCTCTACGTTCTTATTGGCTACTACATTAACCACTATTATTTCAACCACTTAAAATTGGTGTACACAATCATACTTTATTAATAAGAATACTTTGGGTAAACTCAGCAGCCTGTACCTTTATGGACTGAGTGTTACTAGGCACTGTTGTGTCAATGTTTTATAGCGTGTTTTTTAAACATTCAGTGCTTCTCTGGGAAATGTCAGCTCTAAGCATACGGACTCAGAACGGATCTGTAATGGCCCTTTGAGCAGACTGATAAAAAGCTGGTACTGATCCTGCTTAACACCTAGATGCCAGCCAAGTGTACCTCATGTTTGCTGCACTGGCTTCAGCTGAGCCCACCCTAACAGGCCTAGAGTTTGACAACTCCATATGCTGTCTTTTTGTGGGATTGTTTTGTAACTAACATACCTTTTCCCTGCCCATTGCTCTCACACAGAGTTCCAAAATGGTTAATTTCTCCCCTGTCTTTACCCGAGATGATCCATTAACACTTAGATTGTACCATTGCATGCAGCCAACAAGAATTTGGTTCAATTCACTATCACTTCTTCATAATGTGTATCAGCTGTGAAGCCTTCAAATTTAAGAATGAAGCTGAAATTTCTTCAATGAAAGCCAGTGAGCCATGCAAGGTGATGCTCATTGTAAAACATTGCACTCCAAATGGCTAAGGCATGTGAGGTGGAGGGAGTGGGGGGGGGGCGAGAGGTCAGCTTGGGCTGTGAAGTGAATTCCTCACCAACCTAGCCTGTATAGAAAGACTTTGTCTCAAAAAAAAAAAAAGAAAGAAAGAAAGAAAAGAAAAGAAAAGAAAAGAAAAGAAAAGAAAAGGTCATTGAGAATCTTTTTGGATTTTGACTGAACACCTCTCTCAAAAACAAAGCTGGCAGAAACACACATCAAAACCTTTTCCAGATAGCATAAAATCCGGTATTTTTATGTTATGAAAAACCAAAACCAATAATCAAAACAATTCTGGAAAAATTAAGTGCAGATATAGACCATGGAAAATGTTGAGTGCCTCTTCACTGTTGCTGCTCCCCTTAGCAACACTCTCCTTCATGTCTCCAACATTGTATGGACAGCAAATTGGTATCAATTTGGTAATAATAAATGAGAAACACAGCCTGCCTGCCTCCTGTGTATCCCTGATTCCCAGAGACAACCCCCTTTGCTGTGGGAGGCGATCTCAGTGGCCCCCAGATATGCCATGCTGAAATGGCATGCTCGAAGTCCTTAGAGATTTAAATATATCCAGCTACAAGTTATGAGAGACAGTGACTGTAACTTTGATGTTTATTTAGAAAACAAAAGAAAGTAATACTTGATAGTAATATAACAATATTTAGAGTCATCAAAAACTTGCTAGAATTGTTACGTATAGCTGCCAGATTTCCCGAGTATTGGTCTTAAAGTTCAAATTTAGAGATTCCTAAGTTAAAATCAGGAGAAACAGTAGTGGTCATCACACCATAGAAACAACATAGAGAGCAAAGGCCTGCTTGAAATACAGATCATCCCAAATGGGTGGGCACCGGGGTGCTGGGATGAGAGAGGGAATGTGTTACCAGAACAAGACTGCTTCAATTCATTCCTTCTTCCCTTTGCCAAAACATTTCATGGGAGCTACTAACATGGCACACTGTTTTTTGAAGCTGAAAAACATGCCGGGATTTCCTGTGTCACCGCCTCAATGGATGACATTCTATTTGAGGACACAGCTAGGTAAGTGGTGTTGCTCTGTTCAGTCCCTGTGGATTTACTGGTTCATTTGCAGCACATATTTATTGCACCTTGTTCAATTGGAGTCAATGACTGTGATTCTTAGAAAACAAGAAGCACTGGACCCTCTCTAAATTAGATTAAAAAAAAAAGTCCTGGTGTCCACTTGTGCTCACTATTCTCAGTACAAATTCAGTCTGTTTTGTTAAGATACTACCAGCATTAGATGCATTTCAGTGTCTTGTATGGCAAGCTTTCTATCATCTCATCTCTAATGGCTCTTTTTCCTGAGTGACAGGTGACAATAAGTATCTCTGGGTTGGTGCAATGCACATACTAACTCGTGTGTGTAAGTAAAGTACATCCTAAGGAACATTTTATACATGAGTGTGCTTATATGCTTTAATAGTCCTATGGAAGAGAACATCAAGTCAGACATTAGATTTATTTATTTCTAAGAAATTATTTATTTATTTATTTATTTATAATAAAATTAGAAATCATATGATGTATCACAAGAACTCATTGCTAACCTGAGAGAAAGATCAGCTCACACATGTTCTTATCCCTTTGTGGGCTTTCCCATATGTGAATTATTCTGAAGTAAATTCCAGTCATGATTTGTAAATAATTCAGTAAATACTCATAAATACCAAGGTTCTTCTTAAAATCACTACATAGCCACAACCACTGCATTTGAAGTTACTTAAAGAACTCTTTTCTAGATGTGTTAAATTGCCATGGAAACAGAGTCCAGTTCGACTTCCGTCTAGGTCTTAAGATTGCATTTTATTTTTGTTGTATCTGATTTAAAACATTTGCAAGAAGGAGGTTCCCAATGTGGGAAGAAATATTTCCCTCTGGGAAACTTAGTTTCTGTCTCACTGCTTCCCAGGCTTCTTTCTCTCTCTTAAGTATCTACCTTTTTTTCTGATAATTACCCATTTTCATTAAAATATAACTGAGTATTTATTCATATTCCTTAAGAAATAAAATCCAATATCTGATAATATCTGTGTCACTTTCTCCACTTTTTCCATATAAGAGTCCACCCATAAAATCACCCTAGTGCAATGCACACAGCTGTTCATCATTCAGCAGACACGTTCATATTCACTGTATAGATCCCTAATTCAATTGGTCCTCATCAGTAAACACTGAATTGCTTTTGCTTTTACAGGTAATGATTAAATATATGGATTTATGTGGTGTGTATTCATATTTTTGCTAGTGTATTTTGGAACTAGATCCCTAAAAACAGAACTGTTGCATCAAAATGCAAATGCATAGGCCATTTTATTCAACATTACCTAAGTCTTCTCTCTCTCTCTCTCTCTGAAGGTTTTTGTATGACTTTTATCACTCTCTAAATTAGTGAAATTCATCTAAAAATTTAGAAATGCATACTAACGTACTGATTTGTTCAGATTTCCAACACAAGAATTACTTGTTTAAAGATATATGTCTATGTACATAGGTACAGTGCTTCCTTTATTTTTAGTTTTCCTGCCTAGATTGTTACAGCTTGCAAGACACAGTATATAGGGCCACCTTCCAAGCTGTGTGGTTAGCCCTTTCATTTCTCAACCTTCTTCCTCTTTTTGCCTGACCTTTTCAGGCAATGAAAATAGTTAAGGTTTCTCCTTCTGAAATATTGCTTTCAATCCTAGTTGATTTGCATATCTAACTTTCCTAGAAATATGTGCACAAAGGCATTTAGTAGATATGGTCACTCTTCCAGGAAAACCAACTGACTTACCTAATAGTCTGTCCTTAATATATCTGAAAGAGCCTCTCTGCCGTGATTAAAGTAGAACTAATTGCTATCCTTTCTAGGAGCCCAAATAGCACCATGTTTCCAAGGCTTTGAACTCAATTAAGACTGGGGTTTGAACCCTGGCCCAGCTAGTTGCTGGCTATATCACCATTTAAGCTCAATTCCTATTGAGAGTAAAATGGGAATCGTCATGTCAAGCTCACAGGGTTATTGCCCAGTGAGTGGCATGCTGCTCACTGTGAGTCAAAGCATTTGACATGCTGCCTTGGATTGTGCCAGCATTCATAAAGCATTCATTTTGTCACTGATGTGACCACATTGAGGGACAGTACATCATTTAATGACAAAAGTTCTATTGTCGGTGAATTTTTAGTTGTTCTTTTCTATGCCTTTGGGTTTGTGTTTCTCTGTATCTGTGCCTTTATCTTTATCTCTGTATCTTTACTTTATCAAGCTCAGGAGCCCTAACTCATTGATCATTGACTACATCTTAGTTCAATGCCACCATTTGTCAAAACCCAGTGAACAGTGTGAATTAGAAAGAGCAGTGGTTTTTCTAGGAAAGTTAGATATACAAATCAACTAGGATTGAAAGAAATATTTCAGAAGGAGAAACCTTAACTATTTTCATTGCCTGAAAAGGTCAGGCAAAACAGAGAAGAGGAAGGTTGAGAAAGGAAAGGAATGACCACACAGCTTGGAAGGAGAAAAGGTGATGGGGTCGGGTAGAGCATACAAATACAAGAGAATAGGGGAAGCCATGACAAAGTGGCTCAAATGGAGTTGGGTGGATGTAGGAATCAAAAGGGCCTACATTGGGCAGCTCTTAATGAAGGCATCAGTGACCCAAAGACTTGACCTCAAAGTTTTCAGAGTTCCAGTAATAGTGAGGAGTAGGTGGGCTGAGGAGCTGCTCTGAGGGCCCAAGTCTACGTTGGAAGCTGACTGATGACCTGGCTTGTTTCTTTGTGTTTGCTGGTATGTTTGCTTATTAGCTAATGTTTTAAAGTAAGCATCAGTGGAACAGGTCTACCTGTGTACTTCCCCGAATTTCCTATGGGGAACAGAGGCTATACACAAAAGTATCTATTGCAGATAGGGTCACCTTGTACACTGTCCTTGCAAAAGCTCTTTTCTGATTAAATAGAGGGAATGTGTTAACATTATAGGCATGATTTAAATGTTAACATCTGTTCTGAAGGCCTGTCTTTTCTGTTAGCTTTAACCTGAATGTTTCATATATGAGTATTATCAGCAGGTTAAGGTGGAATTGCTTTATGCCAGTTTAAGGTGGAATTGCTTTATGCCACATGTGTCTGCTAAATCTCTAAGTCTAAAATGAAATGTGATAGGATTTCTGAGACCTTTCTTTCTTTTTAATAACAGAATTGGACAAATTATCACCATCCGAGCAAAAGTGACTAGAGCATTCAGCACAAGCATGGAGGTGAGTGGCACCCTTTCCTTGGGGCTGCTTGATGGAGGATGTGTCTTCAATGCTTTCAGAGCACAGAGTAGGAGGCCTGGAACATGCCTGCAGCTGATAGGATCCTAAATTTCAAAAGCCTTAAATCTGTAATCAGACACACAGGTGAATGCTAAGGAGCTGATGTACCCTACCCAATCCTGCCACTCACATTCAGTGTGACACCAAATACTATAGAAAGATACAGGCAAAGTGAACATGCAAGAGGGAAGGGTCCCTGTGTGTGGTGAGAGGGAACGTGTGTGTGTGTGTGTGTGTGTGTGTGTGTGTGTGTGTGTGTGGTTTTACAAACTATAAATTTTATTTCTTACTTCTTACAATACTATTACCCACACTGTATGTGTCCATCTCCTTACACCTCCATCCCCTTGCAGTGTGAACCTTTGCCTCTTCTAGGGCACTATGGATGTCTCAGACTTGGTGAGGTCTACCTAGAGAGAACTCAGAAGATTCCTAAAGTGTGGAAGATGTAGAGGCATTCACCTCATAGCTCCCTAGGGTGTGGTGGTGTCCTCCGAAGCTATTCTGGTCTGGCTTTGTGAGATTCATGCTGCTTTTGGTATCAACCCAAAGACCCACAGAGAACACATGCAGGTTTCCAGAATTCTCTCTTTATATAGATATCTCAATTCTGGTACTCTGCCCAACAAATCCCAGATCCTTGATCTATTTGATCTCTGCTTCTTCGGCTCAGCAGCGGTGGGTTTCCCTTCCCTTACTATCATCTGGGAATTACCTCCAGGATGAGAGGAAATGTTACATTCCTTTCATTGGTTTTCCTGTCCTGGGGCATCATAGCCCTTGTCACCTGTTTCCCATATATAGAAATAGTTTCTTCCAATTGATAGCATTGGAAGAGGGGGAGGGAGCTACAGGAATGAGAAGGGAAGAAGAGGAAGGATGCAGAGGTCATGAGGGAGCAGAAAGGTTGAGTCAGGTGAAGAATAGAAGAAAGGGTATGTGATAGGTAGGGTTTTAGTTGGGGGGGTAGGAGAGGCAGGGAGGGAGAAGGAAACTGGGATTGTCATGTAAATCAATCGTGTTTCTAATTCAAATTAAAAAATGATAAAAAAATAAAAAAATAAAAAGTTGCTTCCTATACCTTTATCTAGTTTTCTTCTTCTTTTCATTGATTATAATTCCAGCCTTATCTAGTCTTAACATAGTTAATTCCCTATGCCATGTCTCTGAGACATGTGTTCATCACACACACCTCAGTCAACTGTCCTGGTAGCTAAGAGTGTCTGAACTTTAACACTCCGTGTTGTAGCTAGGCTTTTCCTGCTTATGTTTTATTTTATTCTTCCTTGTGTATTTCTCTAAACATGAACATCCATGTGGGTGAGTGTTGCTTATAGAGATGAAGAGTAATTGGTTTGTGCTTGATTCATTGCCATCCAGTTAACTTGAGATTTACCATGCAAATACCAAGTTCTGTTTAAATTAAGTGACTTGAAGTGAATCATGGGTTATTGATTGATTATTTTTGTACACAGTGTTCCTGGCGAGGATGTAGAAATACACGTACTTTATCATTCATTACTCAGGGCTGAACTGAGATGCCCCAGGTTGCCCATTACTCTCAGAAGATAGTATTACTTATCATGGTGAGATATGAGGAGAGTATTTATTAGTCCAAATCTAAAGGCGTTTTTCTGTGGAGTGCAAGTCTGCAGAACCAGCTTCAGGGCTCTTCATGCAGAGGGAGAGCCACCCACAGCAGAATCCTTACAAAATGCCTCAGTCACTTGCTGACTGCTCTAGAAAAAAACAATCCTAATAAACCAAATCGAAGCTAACAGAAATTCTTCCCCTGTTATTGTGGGGTATAAAATGTAATGACTAAAGGTTAAAAATAGTTATAGTTTCTCTCTCTGGTAGGCCATCTTGTTCTTGAGAGAGAATTTACTAGTAATATGATTTTAAAATGCTTATTGTAGCAAGGCAAACTTTTAAGAATTAGAATGTAGAACTTCAAATGCAACATATTTATAATGTATGTAAACATCGATGTGTACCTTGTATGTACAGTTATAAATACACATCCAATATCACTTGTATGCATGTATATAATATTACATTGTATATATGTAATATAACATGTGCAACTGGAAGAAAATTAACCTAAAAGTTAGTAAGTATTCCTTCTGGGTAATGGGTCTTATATAACATTTTCTAGATACCTGGATCCCACGTATTTTTCATGGCAAGTGTACATATTCCCACATTCAGAAGAGTTTCATTTGCCATAGTGCAGAGATCATCACTGAAGTGGTAGTGTCACTTACAGATAAATTAAAATGCTTATGTAATTTAAAAACTGGAAGACAGGGTTGGAGAATTGTGTAACTGCATTTTGGGTGTTGCAGTTGAAATCTGTTATCTGGATGACTGATGGCTTGTTTTCTTCCTTCAGATCAGTATCAAGGTCATAGTACAGGACAAGTTCACTGGCCTTGAGAAGCTCCTCTGTGTGGCTTTCTCTACATTTGTAGTTAAACCAGTTGGAAAAGAAAAGGTAAATTTCCCACATGAACAGGTAACCCTTCTTGTAAGCCAGGGACATAGGAATAACTGCTTCAGAATTATTTTGCTGCTTACTGTTAGACTCACTTCCTGAAGATTTTTTATTCATTTTGATATTTATTGGTATTATTCTGTGGCAACATCATAGAGCTGAATTGGAAGATCTTTTGAGAGGAATACTTTAAAGAAAAAAGTACGAGATTTATGAAAGAGAAAAAACGGTGCTTTAAATTATCTGGAAGTCATATCTAATCCTTTAAAATATTGCTTACTGGGTTAGTTCTTTTTTTGGCTATGGAGTTCAAAATTAAGCTGAACTTAAAAAAAAAAAAAGCAGGAAAATTTCATCAAGTATTCGAAAGTCACAGCCCAATCATTTTTTAGCCCTTGAGGAAAGTGTCAAAGTTGCTGAGTTAGGAAAGTTTAAAAGTCAACTTTAGGGCATCTGACCTGAAAACACCCTTGAAAGAGACACTGTGTCCTCATACATTTTTCAGCTCCCACCCACCCAGAGCCCTACTTCAGGTGCTCCATGCCAAGAGGTTCCTCCATGTCACTTCTATTTAGAGCTAGGGTGCGTAGGGGAAATCAACACATTTGAAAAATGTAATAATTCAAATTATAATGTAAGTATTTCATTCAAGAACGATCGAAGAATAGGCGAACATGACTTCTAAGCACTTGCTATTGATGAGGTCTCCTGCTCATGCCTCCCTCTTGCCCGACATCCTCCTCACAGTGGCTACTATGCCAACACAGCTTGAACAAAGCCATGCTTCCACTGCAGCCAGCAAAGGTGGCCATGCTTTACAGTCACTCCACACCTAGGCAGATGTCACAGCTGGGCTGGCAAGTGACCCCACAGAATGTTGGTACCTGGAGTACCTTCTCTAATATAGGCCTCATATTATAGTGCTGCAGGCAAATTCCCATTGCCAAAGGGTGCTGCTTTCCAAACTGAAGTGCACATCTGCTAATTATATTATCTAGAAAATGAAATTGCAGCTTCCCAGGACATAAGTTGGACCTAATGAGTCATGGACAAAGCATCACAGAGACCTTGTGTTCATGAAAATATTAGCAGCAAGAGAGGTCTTGCCAGCCTTTAGTTTCTTCTTGATTCTTTCAAAAGTCTTTAAACTTTTCACAATGAGAGTGTTATGGGGATGGGTACTGAGTTCCCATACTTGATAGCAAATGACAGGATAGAGGATCCTTTGCTTCATATGGAAGAAGAGGCCATTTTCCCCCTCCAGCCTCATACTTCTCATTCTGGATATAGGAACAAGTGGAATAGGCACATTGGCACACCTCAGTCCCATCTCTACAGAGACAAGAACTGGCTTCCAAGAGCCATTCTGGGAAGCCAGCTACCTTGTGGTGCTATGACAACTGGCTACTTCAGTCAACATCAACTGCAAAGCACCTTTCCCAGATCAATCAATTTTCCAGTTAGTACCTTCTTATTTGGTACCACATCATGTGGAGAGGCATGAAAGTCTGTGGTTTGGTTTGAACCACAAGAAATACTAGCATCTCTATCCAAAGTGAGTTCATTCCAGGATAAAACTGGCAATGATTAACAAAATTTGGTTCAGCAGTTGCACAGGCCAAGTAATTAGAAGGGCCCACAAGCCTAGACTGTGTGGAAGGAATGAGGCAGCAGAAAGATGGCCCAGAGACCTTCAGAGGGCTTCAGCTTCCAGGCAGCACTTTCTCTCAAATTGATTTTCAGGCACACAAAATGTACTTTGTGGACTAGGAGTCATCATGATGGATGCCAGGGTCTTCTCCTCAGAGGAGCCAAGGTACAAATTTCCCAGGCTACCTAATATATTCTGCTGATCATACAAACAACATGTGCCATTGTGAAGAGTCACTGTCAATCCACACATTCCTGACCAATGAGACAGGCAACTCAGGGAACCTTGGACTTTAAACAGCACATTACAAGTCACTAGATTTTTCAGCCTTATCTGGGTAAAGGGTCAAGTTCAGACTGGAGGTACCCTGAAGCTGCCAAGAACTTTTACACACAGAACTAGCATGTGGGCATCAGTGGGGGATCTGGAACCTGGACACTGCACCCCAGGTTTCTGGAGGGTCGCTGAAACATTACGCTGACTTATCGATTCATTCAGTTTACTTATTAGACACTGTTTTGACTATGTGATGAAGTTTCCAAATTAGAATATTTCTTGGTGCAAGATAGTTTTCTCTAGAATGCCTTTATTACCTCCCCTTGATCTCTTAATTTTGAAAAAAAAATCAATAAAAATTCAGGGGAATTATAGCCCCACACCTTATTCGTTGAATTCATATTTTATAGAATTTATATATATTAATTTTTATTGAAAATAGATTCTTCTTTCATACACTACATTCTGAGCACAGTTTCCCCTCCCTCCACTCCTTCTGGATCCCCACACCTGCCCGTGCTCCGCATCCACTCCGCACCCCCATTTCCTCTTCGGAGACGAGCAGGCAGCCAAGAGACAGACAGCAAAATAGGATATGACAAGGCAAAAGTACCCCTGGACTCTATAATTCCACAGAAAATGTATAAAATGAGAAAAATAAACATGGATATCTTTCAAATGAGAAATAATAAAGCCTGTTTTGATCTTTTAATTGAAAGAAATTGAAGACAATTTTTCACCAGCATGTTCCATGGAAATACCCATAAATACTCTATTTACTTGAGTTAGAAACCATATGGTATGTCATCTGCTGTTGCAAAATTCACGTTGGGCATCTATAATTTAAGGAAGCAGTAAGTGACAAATCCAAAGATAAACTCTCTTCCTCCAGGTCCATTTAAAACCTGTCATGCTACAAACTGAGCAAGAGCAAATAGAACATACTCTGGCTTCAGAGAGAAGGAAAGTTCGATTACAGCATGAGAGCATGTTCAACAACATCATGAAGGAAAGCAGCAGGTTTGATGGTGAGTAAGAATACACACAGGACCTTTCTATGGCTGTGGCACAGCAAGGGGGCTTCCTTAGAGCACATGTTTTCACACTGCGGCTTGGATGATACTAGATCTGCTTTTTGACCCACCCAGGCAGTAGAAAAGAAAAGGACTGGGTATTCAGACTATCCATGGTGGTGATCTAGACCGCTAGACTAGAATTCCTCTGGAGGAGGAAGTGGGCAGCAAGAGACAAGGTCTGGGTGGTTATTAGCAATCAAGCCCTTAGTAGCATGAGAGATGAAGGGGTGGTGACCAGGGCACATTGATATGGAACTTCACAGGTTACTAAGCAATTGCTCATCCAGGACTTCATTTGAACCATATACCTTCTCAGCACAGAAGAGAAACTCCAAGCAGGAAGAAGCCTGCTGGAGGACCAACGTGATAAGAATGGAAGAGAAGGAGTTCATTAATAATTCCTAGTGCTTTCCACACTGACTCTTGAGTTTTCCTGTAGCAGTTTCCTGAGCTCTTTGCTGTCATAGTTCTCCTTCCAACTTCTCACCCTTTCTCTGTATTTGACTCCATCTCTAAAATGCCAAGAGAGAACGTAGTGTGAGAGAGGAAATGGAAGAAAGCAGGCCAGGGGGCTAGAGAAGCCGATAGAAGTTCCAACTCCCCTGACTCTGAAGGAGGGCACTGAAAAAGGGAAAGGGGAGAAGAGGACAAGAAGAGGTCAGGATAGATTGAGGAGAATGGAGAGGACAAGGCACACATGCAAAGGCCAGAGGTGAGAAGAGGTAGCATGTCGGAAGTATGGAGGCCTCATGATGACCAGAGGGACTATCAGGGTCATGGGACAACCCCACAGAAGCCCATTGGGTAGGAGAGAAATTTTCCAAGATTTCTGCCTTGAGAAGATGGTTCTAGTTCAGTCTTCAGGGCCTTCAACATCAATGGCATTGTTTTCCAGGACAGAAAAACTTGGTCATGATTGAAGGCTGATTGGGATGATTGATATGGTCATCATTGAAGTAGGAATTAACTTTAAGGGCAAAAGAGCATTTATGTTTGATGTTGTACTTCATAGTTTCTGAATATTGTTACGATTTGAAGATTTTGTAAGAGCAATATCCACTATTAGTTACAGAAGCAGAGACTTCATCATTCAATTTACAGTGCTTAGAAGTGTTTCTTTAAAAAGATGGTCTTGGTCCCAAGATGTGTTTTAGATGCTTTTTTCCTAAGGACTGAAGTAGCTGAACCGTGAGAATACTCTTAAGGCAGACAAGACAACCATTAATAAAAAACAAAACCAAAAAGGCAATGGGCCCAAGTCCACCTTGTTGTCTTCTCAACACTAAAGCTCCAGGAAGGAAATGAGATGGCAAAGACCCTCACATCTGCTTCAGTCTTAACTCAGGGAAATGACAGGAGTTAATATGGATCCTAATGAGTCTGTGCAGTTACCCTACCTTAACTGGCCTTCCCTTCCACGCAACCATTTCCTTCAAAAAGTGTCTCTGTCCTTCTTGCAGTTGCACCACCTGAGTTCTTAAGGGGAATGGAGGAATAAGTCACCCAAGAGTCACAAGGTTCTTCAGTAATTTCAGAAGGAAGAACACACTGATGTCTCTCTGTGTGTTCTTATCCTGGATCTTGCAAGAATTTTCTTCACCCTCTACAGTTATCACTCTCACACAAATGTCTCATGAATCATTTTCCAATGTTATAACTTGAGAACTCTAGAGCAAGAATTCTCATGAGGAAAAGTTATGCCTGGGCTGAGTGACAGGCTGGTCAGATGGTCTGGTACTTGCTAGAACAATTGAATGTATGATTGTGGATGAGATCGTGTACTGTCTTGTGGATGTCTGGATCCTTCCTTCTCAGCACCAAGAAAGAAAGAACACATCAATTGCTTAGTTCCATCCAGTATAGATGTTTAAACTCCTATCATGTGCAAGGAACATGCTTGCCATAAGAGACAAAAATGATGAATAATGCAAGGTCTTTGCACTTGACAAACTCATACCCTAGTGCTGGGTATGTGAATAGTTCTGAAATAATGTAGACAGTGTTCGAAGAAGTGTGGGGTCCAGATTCTGTGGGCCCAGGGGTCCCCTGAGAGGGTCCAGAAAGAACAACTGAGGGAGGAGCTGCAAGAAGGAAGATGAGTTAAACAAAATCTCATTGTCATTTATTTTAATTTTCCTAGGAGGCTGATCAGAGCAGATCCATGTTTGCTTCAATTTAGAATTACAGATTTTTTTTTTAAAAGCTTTTCTCTCTGATTTAACTTAATTTGTCCTAACACAGATTATCTTATATTCTTTTCAATGAAGCAACTTTTAATCCAGCTCTATCATATCAATCTGATGTTCATTTTGGAAATATTACTATTATCCATGTCACCAATGATACCACAGAATTTAGAGGCAATTTTCTTAAAGAAAGGACATTGGAGTGTGATAGGGCATGTGGTCTGTCTATTCCCTGTCCCTTAGGTCTCAGAGAGGTTGGTTTTATTTAGAAAAAATACTGTAAAAGAAGGTAGACAAGACCATCATTAGTGAACTAAGGCAGAGGTTATCAACCAGGGGATCATGACCCCTTTGGTGGTCAAATGACCCTTTTATAGTGGTTGCATATCAGATATTTACATAATGATTCATAACAGTAGCAAAATTACAGCTAAGAAGTAGCAACAAAAATAATTTTATGGTTGGGGTTACCACAGCATGTGGAAGTGTACTAAAGGGTTGCAGTGTTAATAAGGTTTCGAAGCACTGAACTAAAGGACCTATACTATCACCAGACTGATGAAGCTGTCTTCACCCTTTGGGGTGCTACATGATAGAAATGAGTGCTGTTAGAATATTTGGGGAAGCTAATTCCAGACACTACATTTTCATAAGGAAAGTGGGAAAAATGAGGTTAGGTTTTGTAAAGGGATGATTGGAATGTGTTATTGTACCACTAGATCACTAGGGGTGAGGGAGAATTAAAGTTTGAGCTATTTGAATTGCAGTTTGTCAGTATAAAATCAGATCTTCAGAACATTGTCCTGGTTGAACCTTTCTGGATGTGCAGAATGAAAACAAGAGCTAGAATAAAATGACCTGAATTCAGGTCAAAGTTCCTGACCTAAAATATACAGGACACATGTGAAATCGACCAAACAAAATGATGAAACAATACCTTCAAAACATTCAACAGACAACCGTTGAACCTGATCACTTGGCTTGCAGAATGAGGTCTGTTTACTATAAATACTTGGCTCTAGTCAGGTCTGTGATCCTGAATTGTTCTCTGGACCTGGGGATGCTTTATTTTTTCCCCATTGATAGGCTGTTATCTACAAGAAGACACACTTCCACATGAAAGATACCTGTCCTCTGTCCACTTCTGCATGCTTGCCATAGCTGAGGCCTGTATGCGTTTAGCAGGATCAAGCCTTTATTCCCCAATTTTCCTTGTGTGTGCTGCATATGTCTTCATAAAAGTGAGTGACTTTTTCTTTAGTTGCCTCTCAGAAAAGAAGAAACTACCTAATTATGGGTGTTCTTTTTTACAACATTTCTCAGATTTTAAGATCTTCTACCAATTTTTAAATTTTTTTGAGTTCCATTTTATCTTTTTATATTTATAATTGTAATCAGACCGATTTTAAATTAGAAACAAGCTTCTTTTACATGTCAATCCCAGTTCCCTCTCCCTTTCCTCCCCTGCCCCACCTCCAAAAGACAGTAAATGTGCAGGGTGAGGAGTTTACAAAGTGTGAGAAGGCATAGAGTGAAAAAGTAAGTCTTCCTCCCACCTGTACAACATACAGTCATGCCCACGCTCTGGTAGTACAACAGTTAAATAGATTGCTATCCTGTTGTAACATAGTTTATAGATAGTTTCTAATAAACTAAGTTTATATTTTCTTCTGAATAAAAATATACAATTTGGGCAAGCAATATTAAACTGAAAATATCTCATTCAGCACTAACTCATCATGTTTTAAGAATCTCATCTAATAAAATCAATTTTGTAATCAGGGAGCAGGGTGCGGTGGCATGCACCTGAATCTCAGAGACTCTCAAGGCTGAAGGATTAAAAAAAAAAAAAAGCTTCAACTCAGGAGTTCCAAGCTTGCCTGCCCAGCATAACAAGATCCCATTTCAGAAAAATAGTTAGAAACTTGTAATAACAGAAGTTAGAAGAGGTTAAGAGTTTACATACCTTTAAAAATCAGCCAGAAAACGAGTTTTCTTTATAGCAATGTGGTAGACTTGATGTCTGGGGAAAATCTACAGTTTGTTTGCAAATCCATCTCAGCAGTCACAAAGGAAGAGTAAGCAGTGATGTTAGCAATAGCTTGAGAATAGCAAAGAAGCAGAGAGAAGCTGTTCTCAACCAGGCAGGCATAGGCTCTGGGATCTGCAGGTACCCAAAGCCATAGACTGAGGGAAGAGTCATGCACTTGTTTTAGGTGGAAGGGTGACCCAGGAAATCATGGGGAGCAGCAGTTCCCCAAGAACTCTCCATGAGTCCACTAGAAAAGTCCCCCCTTCAGAGAGCCCTGGTGGGGAGCCTTTCTCTCTTGGCATTAGCCTTGGGTTGTATGGGGAATCGTTCCCTTTGAGATCCAGTCCCAAGTTTATCTCTGTGCAGTGTTGGTGCTAGAAATCTACAAGTGGCCGGGTTTTGGAGGCGCATGCCTTTAATCCCAGCATTCGGGAGGCAGAGACAGGAGGATCTCTGTGAGTTCGAGGCCAGCCTGGTCTCCAGAGCGAGTGCCAGGATAGGCTCCAAAGCTACACAGAGAAACCCTGTCTCAAAAGACCAAAAAAA